AAAAGGGACCGAGAATCCAAAGCAGGCTCTGTGCTGACAGCAGTGAGCCAGATGCGGGTGCTCAAACTCACCAACCCTGAGATCATGACCTGAGCCAAAGTTGGTGCTTAACTGACTTCTGACTTCCCAGGTGTCCCAGAGAAAAAGTTTTTAAAAGAGATTCAAGGGGCGCTTGGGTGGGTCAGTCAGTTAAGCATCTGACTTTGGCTCTGGTCATGATCTCATGGTTCATGGGATCGAAACCATGTCAGGCTCTGTGCTGACACCTTAGAGCCTGGAGCCTGCTTCAGGTTCTGTGTCTCCCTCTCTCTCTCCCCCTCCACCACTCATGATCTGTCTCTGTCTGTCTCTCTCTCTCAAAAATAAATATAAATAAAAAAAAGTAAAAATAAATTTAAAAATTAATAAATAAAAGAGATTCAAACTGGGTGGCAGGCAGTACTTCTGAGAAATACAAAACTCAAGAGGATAAAGGATTTGGCAAATGTTGGCAAACTATAGCCAGCAGTCAAATCTGGCTCGCCAACAATTTTTGTACAGCCCATGAGCTAGCAATGTTTTTTACATTTTTAAGTGGTTGAATAAAATTAGAATAGATGTAATCAGAATAATATTTTAGGCACATAAAAATGATATGAAATTGAAGTTTCAATGTCCATATAAAATTTTTTGGAACACAGCCACACTCACTTGTTTGCACAGTGTCTTTGGCTACTCTTGCATTACAACAGCAGCAGAACTAAGTATTATGGTAGAGCAGTATGGTGTGGCCTGCAAAGCATAAAGTATTTACTATTTTCCCCTTTACAGAAAAAATTTTACTACCCCCTGATTTAGAGATAATTTTATAAAATATATTGTATATCATATATATATACTTGAAAATGCCTAAAATGGTCATGGAAGATTACAACTTTTATTGAAAAAGGGATGTAACACTAGAAATAGAATTCTGAGGATCATTGTGTAGAGTGAACTGAGTCTGTTATTTTAAGTTAACAGCTGGAATTAAAAAAAAATAAAGAAAATAAAAAGTGCTTCCTACACATTTATTCATTTGATCTCTAAGGTATGCTGTGAGGTAAGTATCATTGTCTCTAGTTTATAGATGAGGAAACAGATTCTAGAAAATATGTGACTACACTTTGGAGAATAATTGCATTCAAAAGTAGAAGGTGGTAGAGAAACACCATTGAGTATGAATATTTTGATATATCATGGGCAATATTGCTCATGTTGGGTGGCATAGTAATAGGCCAAAAACTTGAGGCTAGAGTCTCTAGGTTTGCATACTGGTTCTACTACTTGCTAACACTACAGTCTTGAGTTAGTAACTTAACCTTTTGGACACTCAGTTTCATAATCCATTAAAGTTAGGGTAATAATATATTTACCTCATAGGGCTAATATGAAGAGTGAAGTTTAATATATGTAAGATGCCTAGGGAGTGTCTGGATTATATAAGTGTTAGCTATTTTTGCTTTTAGCAAGAGATTTCAAAAATCAGTTAACACACAATAAAATCTCATTCAGATGGAAGTGACTCAAAAAATGTTTGATAGCTATTCATATCACAGTTCTAGTCTACATATCTGGGCAGGAGTTGAGACATACTGCCAGCCAGCAATAGCATCAGATTCCATTTACCTGATTTGTTTCAATCTTTATTTCTTTGCTTATTCTGCACACATTTATACAAAAAGGAATTTTTGCTCAGAATTCCAAAATATCAAGTATTCTCTTAAGTTCTGTTTTGAAATTTTCATAGTGATTCAAATTGATTAATAGCACATAATAAATCATCCACAGAAGCACTAAAAATCTTCAGTAGAGGTGTCAGTCAGTAATTTAATGCTTTTCTGATGTTGTGGTTCCTCCTGTGGGAGAGTCAGAATTCACTAGGCCTTTCAATTTTATAAACTATTGCCCAACTTTTGGCCCTTATCTTGTCGGAAGTAAACATTTGGTGATTATAATTCAGCATGTGAGTTGAGATGTTATTAAGGAAATCGAGTGCAACCGATGAGATCCCAGTCCGTGACAGGGTCAGCCTTGGTGTTATCCAATAATCAACTCTGTTCCCTGCATGGCAGGTGGGTAGCAGTTGCAATTACTGTCATTTTGTGTCTGGAGAAACTTAGACAAGAGGGTTAAATGACTTACTAAAGGTCATATTGGAAAACAGTGGCATTCCAAGGAATAGAACTTAGAATACGCTTACCCAGATCCCCTCTTGAATAGTTTGAACATTTTTATGAGGATAGTGAGTAATTTTTCATGATATGCTAGTGCATACTTCAAAATTATTTATTATATACAGATTCATGGATTTATTATCTCTGAGACAAAGACCATAAGAAGAGGTCCCATTTGAATCTACCTACATCTATTATTATTTGAAAGTTTAAACACTTCTTTTTATGAAAATGGAGAGAATGATAATGATCAGTAGTCAAGACGGAGAAAATTTATTTCAATTTTTGAGCTAGTTTAATGGGTTAGTATATTATAATTTACTTAATGAGCTTTCATACTATTGATTTCAGACATAAGTGAGCTGTATCTTCACTTACGTTCCTTGCTGTATGCTAGCAGTAATAAGGGTTGCTTTTATTTTAATAGGCCACATTTCCTGAGAAAAGAAACTACAAACTGTATTCAGAGTATAGCTCATCAGTTAAAAGCCTATTCCTATGAGTGTCAGGGTGGTTCAGTTGATTTAGCATCTGACTTCAGCTCAGGTCATGATCTCATGGTTCATGAGTTTGAGCCTCGCATTGTGCTCTCTGCTGTCAGCACAGAGCCCTCTTCAGATCCTCTGTCCCCCTCTCTTTCTGCCTCTCCCTGCTCATTCTCTGTCTCTTTCTCTCTCTCTCTCTCTCTCTCAAAAATAAATAAACATTAAATTAAAAAGCCTATTCCTCTGCACTTAATTTAATTCTTCAAATAAAATAGTGCAAGTATGCAAATTTTAAGTGCTAGATATGTTAATATATTTTGATAATTTTCTTGCTGAATAGGAGATAGCCATCATTTATTGAGCATTCAATTTGTGTCAAACATTATGCTAAGGAATTTAGAAGAAGCTTCAAATTGGAAAGCCTCATTGTTTATTTTCATGACTAGGTTAGAACTGAAGAATGGATAATTAACGCTGAGATTTGAGAGACACCAAGTTATTTTAGACCCTGGGTTAGCCTAATACTAAATAGATAATAAATGCTAGATACTTGATATTGGTTCTTTGATTATTATTATTTTGCTGGATTTTCCATTGAACATTCTTATAACTCCTTCATTCATGTAATTTAAGCATTTTTGCTTTTATACACTATTGATTCAATAAAGTGTATTTCAACTATTTTGAGCCTAGTGTTCAGAATATTTTGATGCTTTTTGAGATGATTTCTCCTTACTTCCACATGTATAGGGGAAATCTGGAAATATATAGGTATTATAAATATCACATATTCTTTGATAATAATCTAATAAGTAAAATTTACTTAAATGATTTATCCTTTTTTAACTACCCTCTCTGAGACTCATGTACTCATTTTATTAGAATGTATATGGAAATTTTTTTGAGAGTATGATTGCCCAGACTGTCGTGTGAGATTTTATGGCCTTGATACTATTGAATCACTTTTACTTCAAGATTCTTTTTTATTTGACAGATGGTTATGGGTCCCAGATGCTAAGGCTGTGAATGTGGTGGTTTAGGGGTATAGATGGTATTCTACCCATCCCACATTTCAAATTGCAAGTGAAAATACACGTTGCATATTGTACAAAATTTGACATATTCAAAGAATAGTACTATGCCAACACATCAACCCTACTTTTCATAGAAGAACACCTCAAAACTCAGGATGCTAATTAGTGAGGGCTGCCTTAATAAACCCTGCCCATAACATTTTTACTCTTCCCTCAAAGTAGTTTTTATATACATGCATATTTGAATGTGTACATGATGACAAAATACACATATACATCCTTATAATTTTAAATATGTGTTTATCTAATACATATGATTTATATATGTATACTATTATTGTTTTCCAGTATATATTCAATGTTTGCATAAGGATCTATCTGAATGTATATACATACAAGGATAAATAGACATAATGTCAATAGACATTTCAAGATAATTTTGTTATACTTCCACCTTTTGAAGCATACTATTGGTACAATTAGATAAAATATATGTCTGGGGCACCTGAATGGCTCAGTCTGTTGAGCATCTGACTCTTGATCTTGGCTCAAGTCATAATCTCATGGTTCATCAGATTGAGCCCTTCATCAGTCTGTGTGCTGACAGCATGGAGCCTGCTTGGTATTTTCTCTTCCTCTCTCTCTGCCTTTCCCTTGCTTATGCTCTCTCTCTCTCTCTCAAAATAAATAAATAAACTTTAAATAAATAAAGTATATGCTTTTCTAATATATGAGATGTATTATATTAAGTCTGAATTAATTTAAAGTTGTATTGCATCAGAAATTTGAGAAATCTCAGGGTGCCTGGGTGGCTTAGTCAGTTAAGCATCTGACTTTGGCTCAGGTCATGATCTCAGGGTTCATGAGTTGGAGCCCTGCATTGGGATCTGTCCTCACAGCTCAGAGCCTGGAACCTGGTTCAGATTCTGTGCCTCCCTCTCTCTGCCCCTCCCCTGCTCATGCTCTGTATCTCAAAAATAAATAAGCATTAAAATTAAAAAAAAAAAAGAAATTTGAGAAATCTCACATTTATATTAAGTAGATTTAAATATGTCAGACACCAAATTATACATTGTTATTCTCAGTTCTAGAGCAAACATTCATAATTTAAGAAATTTTTCATATGAAAAATTATGCCTGGAAAGTTTTGATTATATCACTTAAAAAAAAAGCACATCTCTGTTTTTGAATGAATGAGTTTAAGAATATCCTATAATGACCACTTCTGCCTAAAATGCTCTTTGATATAATGGAATGCTTATAAATATAATTATCATGTGTTTTAGGCTAAGATGACTCAGTTGCCTGAGTCAGAAAAGGAAAAGATTGCTGAGCAAGTTGCTGATTTCAAGAAAGTAAAGAGTAAACTGGATGCTGAGATTGAAATATGGGATGATACAAGCAATGATATCATTGTTCTGGCTAAGAAGATGTGTATGATTATGATGGAGATGACAGACTTCACAAGGTAATTATGTAGAAAATGATGCAAAACGTTTACAATGGGTTAGAAACATTTGTCAAAGTAGTGAAACCTAAGTTTCTCTGAGTGGCAGGTGCTTAAAACCAAGTGGTAGAAGAAACACAAATACTATAGTATTAGAAAGTTGTAGGTGGGTAGGTCTAGAAGTTTTGGTAAGTAAATATGGAAAAGTTAGTTTCTCATAAATTGCCAAAAAGTGAGTTTAGAAACCTAAAGAGATTTCTAATATCTCCTCCCCTTAGGAATCTTCTCTATGTATCATATTACCATATTATTTTACAAAGAAATTGGGAAATCAAATTATGATCTCGGTTGGAGCTCTCTGAATGTTTGCTTTCCATAGCTTCATGATTTTAGTTGTAGTGATATATGTGTCATCAAGATTTGTGATATCTTTTGCTACCGAGACATCAAACAAATATATTTTAAATCACAGTGACTTAATAATATACATGAAAGAATCGTACATTGTGTGTAAATTCCAGAAGCAATAAAATGTTTATTATAGCTTGAAAATATTATTTTATAGAACTATCCAAACAGCAGTAAAATAAATAGTTCTTGCCCTACCAGTTACTTAAATATACAAAACTACAATTAAGCTAATTTAGTGTTGGTGTAATTATAAAAGCCACAGAAAGAATACTCTGAAACAGACCTGTTATACTCACTTATGTCACCATACATTATGCACAAATATAAATTTTGGATAGAGCAATAAATGTAAAATTAAAATCATAACAAGTGGAAAAATGTACACAAATCTTTTATGTTAAGATTGAGAAAGGTTTTCCAAGCATTGGAGAAAAAGGAAGAACTTACAGAAAATAATTATTTAATTGAACCACATTAAAAATTCTGTAGATCAGTAAAATGTCCCAAATAATATTGAAATATAAATGGATAATTGGGTAAACATTTCTAATAAAAAAACAAAAATATTATGTCATTTATATATAAATAATACTTAAGACATTATACAGAATAAAGACCTAAATATCCTAGAAAATGAAAACAAGACATGAACAGGTAATTCAGTTTCTCCACATAAAAGATATGACTCATAAATATGTGAATTATATTTAACCTAAAATAATTTAAAATAAGGTAAATTTTAAATTTATAAAATTGGACAAGACTTTTAAAATAGGTTTATTACAAGGAGGATATGGTGATGAAATCATATGTTGGTATAAGCCTTATAGTAATTTGGCAAAATGTATAAACTAAAAACTTTTGTAAACTTTGACATTATCTGTATCTATATCATCTATATCTATATCTATATCTATTTCTGTACATTACATACACAGTTTCATAAAGAATGCCTTTTATTTATTTATTTTGGTTACATAGGTAAAGGAAATGAAATAACTATCTTGAGGAAATTTCTGCATTCCCATGGTCATTGCAGCATAATTCACAATAGCCAAGATATGGAAACAATGTTGGTGTCCCTCAAAAGATGAATTAATAAAGAAAATGTGGTATCTATGTTGATAGCTGGGTAGATAGATAGGAAGATAGACAGATAGATTTATATATGATGGAATATTTTTCGGCCATAAGAAAGACTAATACTGGATGGTATCACTTATATGTGGAATCTTAGAAAAAAATCAAACTCATAGAAACAAATGAATGGTGGGCAGTGAGGGGTAGAGGAAATGGGGAGATGTTAGTCAAAGAGCACACACTTTCAGTTGTAAGATGAATAAACTCTAGGAGTATCTAATATACAGTATGGTGACTATTGTTAATAATATTGTATTATATACTTGAAATTGGCTGAGAGTAGATCTCATGCACACACAGAAAAGATAACTATGTATATGTTTTCATATGCATATATAGGTATATGAAAGATATATATATATATACTCTCTCTCTATATATATATATACTCTAATTATTTACACTACAGAATGAAATCACTTCTCATTGCCCTATTTATCAAACTGAGATTAAACATTGCTTTAGTTTATATTTCTGTCCATAATGTGCTGTTTTCCATATAAATCTATGGACACTTTAAACCATGTCTAAACTCTAATTCAACTTTTTACAGGAAATGTTTCTTTCATGTATGTTTCCAACATAGGTTAATTATATCAGTGATATAATAATTAAAATGCTATTTATTAATCCTTATTTTCAGAACCAGCCTATAACATAAGTATGGGGGATTTAATTATTGAGAATAATATAAATTTTACCTATCTTAACAAAAAAGAAGATGTAGTGGAGAGAAGTTGCAGTATGAATAAGACATGGAGAGAGCACTAAAAGGCAGAAGAGTGAAAGTGGGTATCTTTTCATCATATATAGGTGGAAGCAAAGATATAACTAACACATAAAATAAAAAACTGTTATGAATAAAATGATATTATCAAGGATTGTAAATATAAACAATGAAGGTATATAAATTCATCAAACTAAGGAAAGGAGAGGGAGAAAAAAAGACGAAGTCTTATAAGTGACCTAAATTCTCGTTTTTAGGAAAAGTCAATAAATTATATCTTAGAGAAGAAAGTATATTGTTTAGAGGTAGGGAGATCATCACAAGAAATGAAATCATACAAGGTTAAAAGTACCTGCTTTCCCTTTGTAGAGGTAAGGATTGCTTTTCATAAATTGTTATTATTTAGTTGGTTTCACCTTGCTTCTCTCTCTCTCTCTCTCTCTCTCTCTCTCTCTGTAGATAGATAGATAGATATCCCTCCATCAATTCACATAGTTATCTTTTCTGCGTGTGCATGAGGATGCTTGAGATCCACTCTCAGCCAAAACACAGCAGCAATTGCACACAGATACATACACAAGATATTTCCTGAAGCTCCAGGCCCTGGATAGTGTATAACCTCTTCTTAATAAAGTCATTACTCTCAGGATCAGGAAACATACCAAGTTTTCCTGCCGCTCAGAAAAAGACAGAGACCTAGACAAATGCCAAGACAGAGGAATTCATCCCAAAAGAAAGAGCAAGAAAAGGTCATGGCCAGGGATCTAATGGAAACAGATATAAGCAATATACCAGATCTAGAATTTAAAATAAGATTAATAAGGATACTAGTTGCACTTTAGAAAAGTGTAGAAGACACCAGGGAGTTCCTTACTGCAGAGATAAAGGACTTAACTAGTCAGGCCAAAATAAAAAATGCTATAACCAAGATGTGAAACTGATTGAATGTAATGAGACAAGGATGGAAAAGGCAGAGGAACAAACAAGTGATATAAAAAATAAAATTATGGAAAATGATGAAGCTTAAAACTAGAGGGGAGGAAAAGTATTGGACATGAATGTAGACTTAGAGACCTCAGCAACTCCATTAAACATAGTATTATTCATACCATAGGAATTCCAGAAGAAGAGAGGGAAAAGGGGGCATAAGGTTTATTTGAGCAAATTATAGCTGAAAACTTCCCTAATCTGGGGAAGGAAACAGACATCTAAATCCAGGAGGTGCAGAGAACTCCCATCAAAATTTTAAAAAGCAAGCCAACATCAACACATATCATAGTAAAATTTGCAAAATACAGATATAAGTAAGCAGCAAGGGAAAAGAACTTCCTAACTAACAAGGGAAGACAAATCAGGTTAGAGCAGACATTTCCATAGAAACTTGGCAGGGGAGAAGGGAGTGGCATGATATATTCAATGTGCTGGATAGGAAAAATGTTCACCCAAGAAAACTCTATCCAGCAAGTCTGTCATTCAGAATAGAAGGAGAAATAGAGTTTCCCAGCCAAACAAAAACTAAAGAAGTTTGTGACCTTTAAACCAGCTGTGCAATAAATATTAAAGGGGACTATTTAGTGAGAGAGAATGACCAAAAGCAACAAAGACTAGAAAGGAGCAGAGAAAATCTCCATAAACACTGTCTTTACAGGTAATACAATAGCACTAAATTCATATCTATCAATAATCACTCTGAATGTAAACTGACTAAATGCTCCAATCAGGAGACATAGGGGAGCACCTGGGTGGCTCAGTTGGTTAAGTGTCTAACTTCAGCTCAGGTCATGATCTCACAGTTTGTGAGTTTGAGACCCGTGTCAGGCTCTGTGCTGAAAGCCTGGAGCCTTGAGTCTGCTTCAGGTTCTGTGTGTCTGTTTCTCTCAAAAATAAATAGACATTAAAAAAGAGAAAGAGACATAGGGTATTGGAATGGATAAAACACAAGATTCATCTATATGCTGCCTTTAAGAGATTCATTTGAGACCTAAAGTCACCTGCAGATTGAAAGTGATGGGATGGAGAATGATTTATCATGCTAATGGACATCAAAAGAAAGCTGGAGTAGCCATACTTATATCAGAAAAACTGAATTTTATACCAATGGCTGTAACAAGAGATGAAGAAGTTCACTATATCATAATAAAGGGGTCTGTCCAACAAGAAGATCTAACAATTGTAAATATTTATACTCCCAACTTGACAGAACCTAAATACATAAAAATTTAATAAAAAACATAAAGAAACTCATTGATCATAGTACAATAATAGGTACTTTAACGCCCCACTTACAACAATGGACAGATCATCTCAGCAGAAAATCAACAAGGAAACAATGGCTTTGAATGACACACTGGACCAGGTGGTTTCAACACATATATTAGAACATTTAATCCTAACCCATAACAATACACATTCTTTTGGAGTGCACATGGGACATTCTCCAGGATAGACCACATATAAGGTCAAAAATCAGTCTTGGACAAATACAAAATGATTAAGGTCATAACACACATATTTTCTGACCATAACACTATGAAATTTGAAATCAACCACAAGAAAAAATTGGGAAAGACCACAAGCATATGGAGGTTAAAGAACATACAACTAAATAATGAATGGGCTAACCAGAAAATTAAAGAAGTAAAAAAAAAAAAAACATGGAAAAGTGACAATGAATTCAAAACAGTTCAAAACTTTTGGTTGGGGCGCCTGGGTGGCGCAGTCGGTTAAGCGTCCGACTTCAGCC